CGGTAGCCTGCGCCTGATAATAAAGAATATCAATGGTCAGAACTTCATTTTGGGCAATTTGAAACATTGCTTTATCACAGTCAGAGGCGGCCATAGCTTTTGCAGCCGTTACCTCTTTGTTCTTCCGGTCAAGCGGCTTGCGAAGGCCGTTCACTCGGAGCAGGGCCTAAGTAAAAAGGGGAACAGGCGTCAGTTTCCAAACAAAAATGAAAACAGGCGTCCTGGAATTCAAATACTCAAAAATATGCTAAGTATACCTCAGCAAGGATCCCTGCAATCCCGTCTAGGTCAAGGGTGCCGACACCCCTGACCGCCTCCCTTTCAGCTGGAGGAACGGCCTTGATCATAAACTTGGCCACCTCGACCAAGTCAGGCTCCTGAGGGCCGGCTGCATCAAGCATAAACAAACGGATTAGACCTAGTAAAAAAGGGAGCAAGTCTAAAATTTACAAGGACAACTTCATACTTCTAGGCGGCCCAGCTGGAGTTTTAGAAGAAGTGGCCGGCTGTTTCTCAGCCGCCGCATGTTTCCTGGCAGAACCAGGAGATCTCGCAACAGTCGTCCTCCAGGCCTTGGGGTCCGGCTGTTGGGAAGAAGAAGCTCTTGGAGCGCCCGTCTAAAAAAGAAGAAAAAAGTCAGTATATGCATAAACACAACTCCAAAAAGAGGGTGAAAAGTTCGAAGCCCACCAAGGGTGCCCCCTTGTTGGGGGAGTCGGTTGAAGCTTGTTGCATGATGGAGGCCCGCAACATGGCCGCCGCAGTCTTGGAGGCGGTAATTTTGCTTATAGCGTCCGCTGCAAAAACAAATAGCAAAGTTAATAAGTCATAACAAGAAATGCATGGAACAACAGAGTATTCGACAGGCCGACTACCTCTTGAGCACCGACTGCTGAGGCCACAGGCGGCCAAAAAGTACTCGTCGTAGAGCCATTTGAAGCTCGGGACGCAGTGCAGGGGTACTTGCTCTCGTACCCCTGAAGTAGAGTTCACCTTCGACTCTACTTTAAAGAGTCCTTTATCTAGGATCTCTTTCTTAGCCTTGGGGGGAACAGGCGGCATGCTACGGCCGCCTGCAAGAAGGGGCGGATTCCTGTTCCACCTGTTGAAGCGCTTGTTCAGCTCTGTGTCTGAACTCTCAATGATGAAGAAGGTGCACCGCCAGTCCTTCCATTTGTTTGCTTTACCTCTCGTCATGAGGTAGCCCCTGTGGCTCGTCAATTGATACCAGCCGGTACCGCCTGCCTTAGGGGTCCGGTTGAGGTAGTTCATGTGGGCGAAAGCCTCGAAGCTCGGCTCCACCCCGTGCAGTTCGCACCCGGCCACATAGCCGAGTACGTTGACCCAGGAGTTCGGGGCTAACTTCCATAACCCCAACTCATACCCATCCAAGATCTGCTGAACAGCCGGATGTAATGGGAATCGCAGCCCAGCCTTGATGGCCGCTTCATAGCAGCCAAAGCAGGCGCTATCATAACTGTACCAGCCGGCCAAACGACTGTGTCTTCTGGATCCGGCACAAACACGAAAAAGCCGGGGCCCATTGTGTGGTTTGCGATAAAGCTCTCCACTTTCTCTTGCATGGCTGTGATCCGGCCCCGAGGTACCATGCAGTAGTAGGGGGTATTTTGCTCTCGGTAAGAGGCGGATGGCTCCGCCCAATCGTCCCCCTTCTCAACTGCGTGAGAAAGCCTCGCCTCTTGCAGGCGACTGTTTTTCTCTTCTGTGTCCAGAGAAGCATGGCCAGAAGAGCTAGACTCGGAATCGTCCTCTGACGAGTCCGAAGAGGACGACTCCTCCTCTCTCCCGGAGGGGCCCGCCTCCTCTCCTTCAAAAGGAGCAGGAGAGAATGAAGAATTGTCAACTGTGAAATGGGAAGGGGTCACTTTGATTCCTCCCTCAGAACAGCCGGCTTTCAAGCCGCTTTGTTTCACTTCCACATCTGGCGCCTGGTCAGATGTTTCACTAATCGGCACCCTGTGGGAGGAGCCGTCTGAATTTGAGATCCTGGCAGTCTTTTTTGTTCTGGCCATCATGCTCTGCATAGACACAGATACAGTCGGACTTTGTATAAAGGGCAAAGATGGGTCCGGAAAAGGGCAGGCGGCACTCCTAGTCCTAGATTCAGCCGTCCCCGGTGACCGGCTGATCACTAACCTAGGTCGTGTCGAGTGCTTCCGTGGTGCCATTTCAAAAAAGAATAAAATAAAGAGAAAATTAAGAGTAAGAGAACCGACGGTTACCTGAACGAGTGACGATTGATGAAGTTCTGAAAATCCTGTGTAGTCGGCTTGTCAGAACAGGCGGTAGGCAGAAAGGGTCCAAAATGTCAGAGCAAGTTCAGGGGTCCGAATGTTCTCTCAAAAGTTCTCAAGTGAAAATGACTGAAGTCAACACTCCCTTATATAGGCGAAGTGAGAAGGCGAAGGGTCACTTCCAGAATTCAAAATTTGGGCGGGAGAATCTCTCGGCCTTTCGCCGAGTGACACCTGTAGCAGGCCGTCGCCTGTTACAGTGCGGCACCTGTCACAGGTAACACGTGACCAGTCACGTGCCACCTGTGAGGGGCAAATGATTAGGGGATTTTGCTCCCACCAATCGGAATGCGCCACGTGGGCCAATCAGGTCCTGCCAAGTGTCCCCCAGTTGGAACTGTGAGGGCTTGCCACGTGGCACACGCTTATTCGTCCACCTTGGACCTATTATGTCATGACACGTGGCATACTCCATGCCTAATGGAGAAACCGGCCACCCAGGCCCAACTTCCGAGGGAAGCCCAATCAGTCCTAGGTTAACCTAAACCTAGGATTGGCACGTTTCCCAAGGTTATAAATACCTCCCTTAATCCTCATTAAGGGGGATTACAAAAGATTACGCTAAAAACTCACATTAAACACTCTCACCTAGAGAGACCCAATCACTTTAATTTCCGCATTAATTACTCCTTAATCTAGTACTAACTTGATCGTTGGAGGCGGAGCTCCCACCACCAGGAGTCTCCGTTGTTTTGCAGGTACAGGCGTCCGGTTCCAGTCTCGGAATTGTAACTCTCCCGCAGGACATCAGAAAAACCCGAAACAATATTTATCTATTAATAATATATAATGATCACCGTGCATGGCACGGGATCTAACCTAGTGTCTTTTAAAAGATTGTGTTATAAAAATTTTCCATTATTTTAAGGTAGTGTTTTGACTAAGTCTAAAAGTTTGCCGAAAAAGGCCCTAGATATAATTTAATGTTGGGGATTAGTCATTAGATATATGATTATCTATTTTTTAAGACAGATAAAATATAGCAATTTATAGAAAATTACCTATTATGGTGACTATTTAAAATATACTAGGGTGTATCGGTGCAAAATGCACCGAATATATATCACATAGTAAGTTATTAAAATAAATACAATGTATAAATTTTTTTTTTAAAAAATAAAATAGTGGAACTTATGCTGCGTGTTTTCTATGCGCTGCAACACCGTAGGGTCACTGGTAGAAAAATGGAGTAACCTGTATTATATTGAAATGGTAAACGCTTATTATATTTTTTGAGTAACCCTGAAATAACAAAGTAACCCGTAAAACATTGACAGCATAAGCCCTATATTATTAACTAAGCTCTATATCCGTAACAGAATAACCCTTATAATACTAACCGAGTAATTTAATAAAGTGGCCAGCTAAAAGTTAGTGAACTCATGGGGGGCTATATTATTTTCAAAAATAAATAAAATGCCTACAATTTTAAGATTGAAGTTTGTAAGAGTTGTGATAATACAAAATTTTAAAATGAAACGTGCAATTATAATATAAATTCCTTCCAATATTGTGTTATAAAAAATTAGTGTGTATATTTGTAATATTAAGGAAAGTGGGTAGTCCTCTCAAAAATTAAAAAGTAAAGTGGGTAATTTATATATTAACTTTTCATGAAAAAATATAATAAATATGCTTTTAGTTGAATGTTGTTAAAAAATGTGCAGTTATATATGGAGATACATATTGTATTGTAAAATGTAAAAGTGAAAGTGAAAGTGTTTTATTTATTTATTTACTTTTTTGAAAACATTTATTTATTTATTTCATCTAAAATTTAGAGAAGTGGAAGTTATTGACAAAAAAAGGAAAAAAAAAAAAGAAAAAAGAAGATCGCACCAAATTGTAAGATTGGGGTTTTGGAGTGATGCGGTGAAAAGTTGGGAAAATATCGTGCTAAAGCATAGGATATATTAATCGTATGTATTAAGTTTTTTTATTACTACTCCAAACAATGTTATTAATTTATTTGTGTAAATATGATAGTGGAAGTTATTGAATTTATTTAGTAGAAATTATGGAATAGGAAGTTATGATAGATGGAAATTAATATATATAAGAACAAGAGCTATTTTAAATTACTTTAGAGATGATTTTTGAATTACTTTTTAATTTCTCTATTTACTTTTAAGATAGTTTGATTTACATTGTGGTTTTTTTTTATTTACTTTTGAATGTTATTTAGACAATATTTCTAACTAGCAAATACCTTTTTTATGCATCATTTATTTGTGATATTAGAGAAAGCTGAGATTGTTAGAAGTTGAAATAGAGCTTAGATCTTGACATGTACCTTATTTACTAGTACATAAACTTCTACTATTTTGATAGTTACTTTTTTTTTTATTACTTTTAATATATTTTGAATAAATTTAAAGTGTTCTCATTTTACTTTTAGAGAAATTTTTACTTTTATACACTCATTCCTCAAGCATATAATTTTGAGTAATATATTTTGAGTAATTTTTATTTACTTTTATACACTCATTCCTCAAGCATATAATTTTTTTTTTTATTAAGGTTGCTACCCTGCCCTGCCAAGGCTGCTACTGCAGTTGCTGGCCCTGCTGCGGCTGCTAGCCCTGCCTGCCAAGGGTGCTGCTGCAGCTGGTGCCCTGCCCCGATAAGGTGTATTGGAAAGGCCCAACTAGGTTCAAAGTTACACGTATCACAATTTAAATCCAATGTATAATATAAATTCTTGATCTAGGGGCGCTAACCGTCTACCATGATATAGTGCACAACCATTCTTATGATACAGAAAATACAATTTCTGATTGTAGTCCTGAGAATGTTTAACTAATCATGGATTGATTTAAGTCTGCAAATCAGCAAACTGAAAAATAGGAAATTGAGATAGAAAAGCAGTAGCATGCACCTAAGTTGCTTCATATTCAAGAAACCCTTTCCAATGCACCAAAAACTGAACTTGATCTAGTCCATCCACCTGAATCACCCCCTTTTTTTTAGGGGAACCTGAATCACCCTTTTCTGAAGCACAGCAGTAGGATATTGTTCAGCGGGTAAAGGTTGTTGAGCCCAATCTGGTACAGTACCAATACTTGGGACACTCCCCTATACTCCTTGAGCTGAGACACATAAAATACATTGTGTGTTTTTGCTGATGAGGGTAGCTGCAGACTAATTGAGCAAAGAAGAGACTTACAATCAAGCGATGAGCATGCATAAACCGTGAAATTTCCCAAAACTCAGATTTCAGCAAGAACCCATTGGACAACAGGATCACCCTGAACCATTCGATGCCCTGCACCACAGAACAACACTAAACCGAGCCATTATAGTCACGCAACACTGCCCCCAGCCCCCAACTCCTCTACAACTCCAGCATCAACATTCATCTTTCCCCACCCCTCATCAGGTGACGTGTTGGTGACCAACTATAGGAAAGGGCATACCAGCACCTCGTTTTTTATTTACTCTTATCATATTTCTATCTGCTTATTACAATAGGGATAAAATCCTCAACCATAAATTCATTGATTATCTACTTTTTGAGTAATTTAATCTACTATTAAAAATATTTAGTTTACTTTTAGTGGAATTATATTCAAGTCCACTTATAATTTTACAAATTTTAGAATAAAAAATCAACCTACACAAAAATCCACACTCTCCTCTCATCAATCTTGCTGCCAGCTTATCCACACCATAACAACAACACAAAGTTGTCCACAAGCAGCTATCTTCCTACTTTCTAGTCTCTTCAAAACTAACACAACAGCAACAACGTCTACCATAATGGCTTAAACAAAATTTGTTTTATAAGCAGGCAAATTAACACTATAGTTCAACCAAATTTATTTGAAGCGAAAAGTTTATTAGCCTGATCAAACTAGAAAAAATTATCTACTTTAGGAGTGATTTCATATACTTTAAAAGGTACTTAGTTTACTTTTAGAAGAGTTTAGTTTACTTATTAAAGGCCATTGCAATTACTTTTTTTAATTTAATCACAGCAAAAGGTGGTATCTAGGAGCTCCTAGCAGCTGCCCCATGTAGGAGTTTATAGGTACTACGCAGCGGAAATAATATGAATCATATTCAATTAAGTACCAATCCCAAGAATCACATGCATAACACACAAGACACATAATCATACCTTTGACGCGTGAATTCCACGAAGCTATTCGACAGGCAAATCAGGGAGAGAATAGAGCCCCAAGCGTTTCTCCTCTACTTAGTCCACGAGATTCGAACGAGCCGTCCACCAATACTAGATTGGTCGAGTGATTGAGGAAAACCGCGATCACCACCTTTTATGGACAACCGACCACCGCACGAACTACCACCACCACGAGACACCACCGTGCGCCGAGGAGGAGGAGAGAGTCGTGTGAGAGAGGACTATGAGAGGGGTTGGGTTTCATGTTTGCTAATTAGGGTTTGATCACACTGATTAGTTAATTGCTTCTTCTCATTTCAAACCTAGGCACCTAGTCTAATTATAATCTCATTATAATTAGACTAGGTGTCACGGTCCGGGAGTTTGGACCCCGAAACGTGCGGCGCGCTCTAGCCTTTTGGCGGCAAGAACGCTAGCCTTGAGCGGAAGAGGGGCTTGTGAGCACAAAGCAACACAAGCGGGCAATAGAATCTCAGGAGCACTCACGTCTATCTGGGCGACGGAGTGCGGGTGGTCGGGGCTTGTGACGGCCGATACTTCAAAGCAGGCACAAGCGGGTCCGAACCACGAGTCCTTAGCGCATCAAGTTGGGTTGGAGGGGAGCTAATATGCAAGTAAGACACAATATCTATAAAGGTCTAACAACAAACAAGCATAAAAGCCAGGCAACACTTGGTAGAAGGTTTTAAGATTTCATTAATCATTCGCCCTCTAAAGAGCTTTAAATGACATACAAGGAGAATCCCTAGTGAACACTGATTTGACAGTAACACAATAATGGGACCTTAAGCTAAGAAAACATAACCTAAACTCTAGGAAAGCACTTAAATGGAATCTAATACATCAAAAGGAGTTGGATTCTAACATCCTCCCCTACTTAAGCTGTCGACGACCTCGTCGACTTACAAAAGTTACAATCAAAATTAGAAAACCCTAAACTATCTCAAGTTTCGGATGCGCCGTTGGTGCGGCTATCTTCTGGAATCTTATCTGACTCTTGAGCTGGATCTTCTTTGTTGACGAGGAGCTTGTCTCTGGAGTCGCTCGGCTCGAACATCTTGTTGAGAGCTTCATCTCTAAATTTCCTCCTGGGAGTGGAATCTGTTGAATTAAGGGGGACAACTGCTTCCACCATCATCTGTTGGGGAGCTGCTTCCTTGAGACTGTGGTGGAGAGCTTCAAGTTGTGGCTGGTGCCTCTTGGGTGACCATTTTCTTTGTAATCCCTTGCACGCGCCCTGCGTTGTTTGCTCAACCACTGTTTTTCCTCCCTCTTGGGAGGTTCTTCTTTGGTGTCTCTTTGGTGTCTCTGGGCTCGTCGCTCTTTGCTTCGAACCTTGTGACTGATTCTGGTTTTGGCGGGTGTGTATCTGGGATGTTGCCAACTCCATGGGCTTCATCTCTCGCTTCTCTGGGTTTCTGGTGCGAGCTTGTTTCTTCGATGTTGTCTTCTTCTCAGGCTCCATCACTCGCACTGTCGAAAGATATCAGACTTCTGGTTCTTCTTGAGGTGCTATCATTCTCATAGCACTCAGGCGTCGTATGGAACCCATCCTATATGTGGGCTCCTCATCGCTGCTAGTCTCTTTTGTGGCCTCCTGAACGGACATGGATGACAATCTCTTTTGGATCTTGTCAAGTTCTTCTTTATGCTCGCAATCCCACCATTTGTGTGGACCTCGACAAAGTATGCAGTTTATTGCCCTTGTGTTTGCCGAGGATGCGCCGGCCCTCGAGTTTCCTGAGTTGTGGGAGGGGGTAGATGTTTGTCTCTGGGCATCACCTCCTCCACTTCTTCTATGATATGTATTAATGGTGTTGGACGATACTCGTGAGCCGTTCTCTGTACCCTTTGGAGAGCTTGGAGACGGACTGTTAGAGCGTGTTGACGTCCCACTTGAATCCTTCTCAGATTGACGACCCTTCCCGACTGAGTAGTCCATCAATCTCTCAGCAGCACACATAGCAGCAGCGAGGGTATCAATATTCTGCCTCAAAATCTCTCGCTGCGCCCATTCCTTTAACCCGTTGACAAAGTTGAACACACGATCTTTTTCATTCATGTCTGTGATGTCCAACATTATCGCCTAGTATTCCTTAACATAGTTGCGAAGAGAACCCTTCTGGCGGCACTCTTGCAACTTCATCCGTGCAACAAACGCTGTGTTGACGGGGTAGAATTGTTCTTTAAGTTCCTCTTTGAACTCCGCCCATGTATCAATCTTGATCCTTCCTGCTTCGATGTCTGCGTGCTTGGTGCGCCACCACAGCTTAGCATCTTCGGACAAGTACATGATGGCAGTATCCACCTTCTGATCGTCACTTAGTTGACATATTCGGAAGTACTGCTCCATGTCGAAGAGGAAGTTATCAACTTCTTTCGCATCTCTAGCGCCACTGTAGTCGCGAGGTTTGGGCGGCTTTGTCTTCGCCGCACCAACACCCAGTGCGTCTCTGCCCACAGCGCGCGTTAAGGTAGCACATTTCTCAAGTGCTTCGTCGGCTTTTCCTTGAACAAATTGCAATTGTTCGCGGAGGGCATCTCTGTCAGCCATCAATTTCACAATTTGCTCGGCTTGCTCGTGTACAATGACTTGGAGCTCGGCCCATTTGTCCGCCTTCTCCTCGAGCCAAGCGAGCCTTTCTTCTACGAATTCCATCTTCGTGTAGCCCTCCTTGGTGTCTACACGGGTTGCTTGCGACGAGGTTTGAGCCTCGGCTCTGATACCAACTGTCACGGTCCGGGAGTTTGGACCCCGAAACGTGCGGCGCGCTCTAGCCTTTTGGCGGCAAGAACGCTAGCCTTGAGCGGAAGAGGGGCTTGTGAGCACAAAGCAACACAAGCGGGCAATAGAATCTCAGGAGCACTCACGTCTATCTGGGCGACGGAGTGCGGGTGGTCGGGGCTTGTGACGGCCGATACTTCAAAGCGGGCACAAGCGGGTCCGAACCACGAGTCCTTAGCGCATCAAGTTGGGTTGGAGGGGAGCTAATATGCAAGTAAGACACAATATCTATAAAGGTCTAACAACAAACAAGCATAAAAGCCAGGCAACACTTGGTAGAAGGTTTTAAGATTTCATTAATCATTCGCCCTCTAAAGAGCTTTAAATGACATACAAGGAGAATCCCTAGTGAACACTTATCTGACAGTAACACAATAATGGGACCTCAAGCTAAGAAAACATAACCTAAACTCTAGGAAAGCACTTAAATGGAATCTAATACATCAAAAGGAGTTGGATTCTAACACTAGGGCACGAAGCCCAAAACCACTTCTAATCCCCATATGGCCGGCCACCTAGAGTGATGAGGCCCATGATGGGCCTCGTCCTCTAATGCTCGATCTAGCCCCTTTGTGTGATCTTATAGGATCCGTCCAATTGGGCTTTGGGCTATTTTACTAGTCCAAAGATCGTTAGTACCTCTAGTTATGGCAAAACGACAACCCAAATGTACGAACTTAATTATCTCCATAATTTGATCCATTTATATATCTAGTAATTGCACAAGACAAAGACATAACTCCTTCACCCCATTCATACTCCTCCCCACCTATCCTAGATTTCATAGCAATATCATGATTTCAAAATCATATAGAAGGTGAATTTCACTTCTATTAGCTTTTAGATATATTGGACTTACTTTAACTTATTTTGTATCTACTTTTATTACTTGAAAACTAATGCACCTATCTTACCCAACAATTATAGAAAAAAAGAGACAAGGTATTTCAATTTAAATTCAAGCTAAAAAATAAATTGTTCACAGTTCTAATAGAGGAATCGAACAAAACCAAAAAGAACATCCAACCTCATCACCTTTTAACCATTTAAAGAGTTTCAGCATCAAATTAGATAAAAAAAATTCATTTAAATAGATAAATTTCACATATAATCAGATTAAATTCAATCAAATAAAACAATCAAAGAAACGAATCAAACAAAACAACAGCATCAAATCGCACAATTCTCTATTAAAAACATCTATAAGCATCTCTTTGAAAATCAAATAGATAAAATTAATTTGCAACGATTTGTTGAATTTAGACCTAATTATAGCTAAAATTACAAAAGACTACAGAAATTGTGACTAAAATTCTAATTATACCTTTTACGAGCTCGATTTTGCATGCTCGAGTGAAATTTTAAGCATTTTTTTTAGAGATATTTGAATCAAATTCACCAAATTGAACAATTAACCTTCATTTACCAGTAAGCCGCTTCAATGGAGTAGTGAAAACACGAAATTCGCTTCAATGGGGTAGATAAAGCTTGTAGGTCGCTTTAATGGAGAATTTTAGAGCCTCTTTGTAATGGAGGAGAGAGAAAATCCTTGAGGAGAGATAAGTGTGCTTGCTTTTTTGAAAATAAGTGGAATTTGCGTGATTTAATCTAGGTCGTTGATTGAGTGCCTATTTTTGTTATATTTAGCGGTCCGAATTAGTTCCTAGTTCCTATTTTGCAATTGGTTCTCATTATAACCTATGTACGTATATATATAGAGCTGTCAGTTTCTGACCCAAACCGTTAAACCCGACTATTTCGAACCGATCCGAAAAGGAACTGAACTGTTTAAAACCCGTTTTTTGGAAATCGAAAACTGACCCGACCCAATTTTTTCCAAACCGAAACTGAACTAAACCGAATTTGTGCAAACCGTTACTAACCCGACCCGTTATCAAGCCAAACCGTTACAACCCGAAACTGAAAGCAACCCAAACTGATTACGTTTAAGCCCGATAGTAACCCGACCCGTTTTAAACCGAAAACTGTTAAAACCCGATAAAAATCCGATAAACCTAAATCGTTCCAACCCGTAACCCCTTGTGACCGAACCGTTTACGACCCGTAGCCTGTTATGACCAAACTGTTTAAAACCCGTAACCTGTTATGACTGAGTCATTTACAACCTGTTACCCAATATGTTTATGATCTAATCT